AGAGTCGACAAATGGCCGCCTCCGATGCTCTCAATAGCATGAGCCCCCCTTGGTAACTCCTCAAATGTCCATGGGGATCTCCGCCCCATCATATATCTAACCGGTCGACGCTTTGGCATCCCTGTGAATCTCCGCTTGCATTATTTCCCAGGTGAATGGGGAAGTGATCCCGACCTGCACTCGAGTAGGTTGTAGAGATGTTCTGTTCATTTGTTCCCTCATTTCGTTCATCTGCCTCCTCATTTCGGCCATTTCTTCCTCCTAGGCCGTTAGGGGAGGTGGTGGTGGAGTTCCCAGGTCGACAAACTCCCGTTTTCCTTCTGCCGGGGTTGTTCTCTGATTCTGACATCCTTGTCTGAATCGCGTATTGCCACATTCTCCAGAATAGAAATGGCGACCAATCGGCGTATCTCCTCTGGCCCGGGACCCGATCGGGGTGCGGTCACTAGGAGTGTGATGCCCGCCCCTGGCTGCATGAGTCCTTTTGCGCTCTCCCCGGTGGGCCCGTGAATGATTCGATGTCGTGGTTGTTTCCGCATCGGTGGTATCATCATCGAATGATGGTGTTGTGTATTTGGTTTCTCCCGTATAGTTGGATCGTCCCCCATCCTGCTCATCCGCCAGATGTTGCATGACCTGAGCCAAATCTTGCATGGCATGGGGGTTCCTCCTCAGTGCTTCGGGTAGGGATGGACCCGGGCCAGGCCGGTTCCGGTTCCCGGCCGGGCCCGGGCGGGCTTTTTTTTGCAATTCCTTGGCCCCGGAACCGGCCCGGGTTGCTACCGGGTCCAGGCCCGGTTCAATACTTATTTTTTTTTGCTTTCTTGTTATCCCCCGACCCCCCCCCTCACCCCACCCCCCAAACCTCCCCAAAACACCCAGCCCAATTCTAGGAAAAGAAAAAAAATTGAAAAAAAATGACCCGGGCCCGGCCCGAATCGCCCGGCCCGGTTCGCCCAAAACTAGGCCCGAGCCCGGCCCGCCCACACGAGCTAAAAGCCCGGAACCAGCCAACCGGGCCCAGTCCGGTCCGGGCCCGCACAGTAGCGGACCGGTCCGGTTCCGGGCCGGTTCGGCCCGGCCCAGTCCATCCCTAGCTTCGGGGATGAAGAAAGGGTTAATTATCAAAATAGGACTAAAAGTCACTCACTTTGCACAAATAGGACTTAAAAATAAACTATGTTCTCATAGGACTAATTATGTGTGTCTTGGACAAATATAACCTTATAGCTATTGAAATGTTTTAATTCATAATAAAATAATAAAAAATAATACAAATTCGTAAAAAATACTAAAAAATTAATAAAAATATTTCGATAATAATTTTTTATTTTTTTATTTTTTTTCAAAAAAAAAAAATTATTTTTTTTTTAAAAATAAAAAACTCAAAAAAATAAAATAAAATTCACCGCCGCCTCTGCACCACCACCTCCAATTACTAGGGAAACAAAATGCCAAGTTCATTATGAATGCCATATTTATGGCAGAAAACAATGAAAATGTTGGCATTCTCAAAGAGAAATATACCATATTTTTGGCATTTTCAGAAAAAAATTGCAATTTTTAGAAAAAATGGCATTTTTTTCACAGGCCGGAGATGGTGGTGCAGGGAGGTAGTACAGGCGGTGGGAAAGGCGTCCATAACTTTTTTACATTTTTATGGAGTTTTACTATTTTTTATTAATTTTTTAAAAAAATTAAAAAATTAAAAAAAAAATTAATTTTTTATTTTATTAATATTTTATAAATTTTTTAAATATTTTTCTATGAAATTTTGAATTTTTTTCGAATTTATTATGAATTAAACATTTAATTAACTCATATTTAAAAGAAGGGTAAGAATGGAATGAAAAAATAGGTATGTTTCCAATAGGACTAATATGGTTCTATTTTGAAAAGAAAAACATAGTAAGTCCTATTTTGAATTTTTGGCATAGTTTTAGTCCTATTTGGAATAATTTCTAATGAAGAAATCCCCAGCATAGTGCGGGTAGGATCCCCGACTGGATTGCCCTTGGGGGTCCGGCTTTCCCCGCGTCTTCCAGAGGTCTCTCCGGTGTGATGAGAAGCGATTCTAACCATTTTGGAGATGGTTGTTGTTTGGTGTGAAACTTTTTGTCCAGAGTTTCTCACAGACGGCGCCAACGTTGAAGTTTAATCTCGCAGATCCGAAAGCCCAACACGAACTTTGGATATATTAGGAAAATGGGTCAAGAATCACTTGTAAAGAGAAAATATAAAAGATGAATGATCAAATACTCAAAAGTCCACTTGTATTAACTAATCTGGTGATTACAGAGTATACTTCCGGAACGGTACGTCGGAATAGTGACTAATACAGGAAATCAGAGAGATAAATCAATTCTAGAGCTTGAGTATCGAAAATTTAACCCTTTACAATGAAACTAATCATTCTATTTATACTAATGGGGGGTATGAGGTACTTCATGTTGATTGGTTGCTTTATCCAGCCACTTGGAAACCCATACTCCTACTAGCTGCCGTCATACTTTAGCAATAAATGCTCCCTGCCACTTGTTGGCTACCCGTTGCCCGAATGGGTAATGGACCCTGCTGGCCCAAGTCCGTTGATTAGACCGAACCTCGTTCGGTATATTGATCTGGAGTCATCATTGATTTGGCTTATTAATGATCTGACTCAAGTACGTTAATTGACCCGAACCTCGTTCGGTACATATTTTTCCATGAGTCTGTTCATCTTCTGGATTATGGGCCCGTCAAACGGACTGGATGTCTGGATATCTTGGGCCTTGGATCCGGGTATTGGGCCTGCGGCCTAATATCCCAACATAAACAATTATTATCTATGCACAGATAAAATAAATGAACATAAAGACAATATTTTAACCACACAGACAATATAAATGAAGAAATAGACAATAATTTAACCACGTACAGACAAAAAAAAATGAACACGCAAACAATTATTATCTACGCACAAACAAAATAAATGAACACAAATAATCTTATAAATAATATAGTTTGACTATATTATCCACTTACCATATTAAGTTGCTTTACATAGACAATATAAACGAACACACAGACAGTTACTTTCTATGAATAGACAAAATTAATGAACACAAACAATATTTTAATCACAAGACAATATTAATGAACACACAAATAATAATTTTCTATGTACAAAATAAACAAAAACATGAACGACGCTTTAACCACATATAGACAATATAAATGAATACATAGACTATTATTATTTACGTTCAGACAAAATAAAACACAGACAATAGTCACTAAAACGAGCTAATGACAAAACTTGTACACAGATTATTAATAAAACCAAACATACGAAGTTTTACATAGTAAAATGAGCTACATAAATTATTGGAAAATATACACAGCTAAATGAATAAATCTAATCTCATAATTACAAATAAAGAAAGAACAAACACCCTGGCCATGAAGTTGCCCTTAAGTTAATCTGCCTTTCGTGTAATCGTGTCACCAAGTGTTGACCTCTATTGAAGACACAAAAACTATCTTTGACTGATATTGTTGCACACTTGTAACCAAATCAATACTATCAAAGTTATCTTCCTTGTGAATGACGATGCTTTTCAAACTATGTATATTGTATAGCTATTTGGACTTCGGCATCTCAAACTGTCAAGATTTTTCCTGATCTCACATTTTAACCCCAGTACCCCACCATATAACTGCAAGATCTCAGATCAGATGAAGAAAAGGGATTAAATGATAAATAATGACAATAGGAAGATTCAAAAAAGATGAATAAATGTCCATACAATCAATCTGCATTTATTTTCTTGTTTTGAAGATTTAAAAGGAAACACCCCTAGATAGCTTTATCTTGTTCATGATAGATAAAAAATACAAATTGATTAGGACATATTTAAATAAGTTACAGTTTCATATATCATTGAACGATTATGATAGCAAATTAAAAAACTTTCCAGAAAATGTTTAAAAAGAGCAATCAAACTCTTTGTCTAGTTGAAGCACTACAAAATACTAACATATCTGATCTACTAATCTCATTCAGGACAAAAGAGCAATAACATTCATAACTCATAAGCTCTCAAACAACCAAAATCAACAAAAGCAGCACCAAGAAGTGACAAACCATAACAAAAAGTTCAACCCAGATTCAGAAACAACAAAATGATGGAGGAAAGGGGAAAAAGAGCAGTGTAATATCTAAAAGAAGACAAAATCAAGACACAGAGAAGCAGGACCTGGGCTGAAATGTGAGTAAAGCAGCAAAACAGCAATCCAAGGAGATATAATAAACTCCTCCTTGTCCCAATAAATGGCATACCAAAACATTTGTGCTGCTCCAATCTGATATAATACAACAAGAACTCATCAAGTTCTATGGAGAAACATAATACTATTAGACAAACAAGGAGTTATGGTACACATAGATGCAAAAAAAAGGAACAATTTCCTTAAATATGACTACAACATATAACATTTTTACAAGTAGAATCATACTCCTAAAACGACTAAAATAAATTCTATTTGCGCACATAAACCATGCTTTACTCCTATTGTGATTGTGAATATTATATAGTCATGCTTCGATTATTCATCATACATTAAGCATATAGTTCAATAAAACAACTTCACAAACATACACCAAGCATAAAACTAGATTTGAAACTAAAGATAATTTCCTAAGCACTATGCTTCACATAAAAAATCTAAAACCCTAAACTCAAATTAGAGAAAAAGAAGAGAGTTAATACCTTGGACGGATTTCATTATACCACGGATATACTTAGCGGCGCGGCAGAAACAAGGATTCACTCCATGGGGCGGAAGAGTGACACAAAAGAAACCAGCTATGAAAGACGATGGAGATTATTACGGATTTGGGGAAGGGTAATGAAGAAGAAAGAAAAGAAAATGGGTAAAAGAAAGGGTAAAATAAGATGGTAAAAATAGTAAGGTATATAAAGTTTGTAAAGGGATGTTGAACAAAGCCCTGAACAATCCCCAGTCATTTATCCGTGCGTATCAACTTGAAGCCCCATTTAACAGAACTTCAATGGCGACGATGCTTCGAAATCTTTCTTATTTCAAGCGCTCTCTCCTTCACCCGACACAGGTGAGCTTTTCTCAATCTCACGTACTCCATTTGAGAATCTCTCGAGTAGCAAGCTATTTTCAATGTGAGTTTGTAAAACTCTCCCGTTTTTATAGAGATTATGTTCCAACTCATGGTGGGTGGCTGAGGATGAGTGCATGATGTTGGAAAATGAGGCTTGTACTGCAGCAAAAAAATGAAAACATACTTTCCCTTCCTGGGCCAAACAGAGTTACTTTCCTCAAAATTACTTGCCATGGAAATTAATTACCCCCCCCCCCCCCCCCCCCCCCCCCCCTCCCTTCTTTACTTCATTGCCTTCTGGGAAAAAGGTGCTATATCTTTATTCAAATTCCCTCTTCTACCAGACTACAAATAAGGGTAAACAGTAAACGTAAACTATATTTCTTGCTCTGCAGGGTCTTAGGAATGATATAGCCATGGCATATACTCAGCTGTCTTTCTTCTCTTCAAAAGGTCTGTAAGATCCTCATTGCTATGCTTTAGTTAGTGAGATATTTCTTCACACATTTTGACCGATCACATTATGATGCATCTGCTATTGAATTTGGTCTAATTTAGCTTTACCTGCATTTTAATGTTATTATAGTGTTTAATTTGTATTTGTAAATTTACCCTTACACCAATGTAATTAAACAATAATTTTGCATTGTAACAGTATTCCCTTGCATTTGAATGATATTTAGACGTCTACACTGCTTACTGTAAGTGCAGTCAAATCATTAAGTTGTTGCTTAGATGCTGATTAAATCTTTGCCTCTGCTATCTTCAGTAAAGAAGAAATCTAAGTCAGGTGAGACAGACTCAGGGGATGAGAGTTTGTCAAAGAAAGGATTAGCTCTTAAAGCAGCTTTGGATCAGATCACTAAATCATATGGCAAGGGATCCATCATGTGGCTTGGTCGTTCTGTCTCCAAACACATTCCAGTGCTGTCTACGGGGTCTTTTTCTCTGGATATTGCATTGGGAGTTGGGGGGATTCCAAAGGTGGGTAATCTTACACACAACAACACAATAATCAAGCCTTAATCTCAAAAGAGTTTGGGTTCAGCTAACATGAATTGACATATGAAATTGGAGCTAAAAAAGATAAAAAGGATAAGATAAGATAAAGAAGTTAAGAAAGATACAAAAGGAAAAAAGATAAAAAATGTGCAAACCCCCCTGTTTTTTAATTAATCATGCGCAAAATCCCCTTAAAGAACAAATTTTACAATTTCGAAATCACTTTTTTTAATAATATGGTTGAATATGCAAGTAACTTTGTCAAAATTTCTAAATTATACAAAAAAAACTAATCATTTTTCATCTTTTTTGAAATTAAATTTGTTCTTGGAGGGAGTTTGGCGCATGATTAATGATAACACAAGGGGGTTTGATGCATTTTTTAAATCATAGGGGGCAAGGTAGTCAAAGTCAAAAGGCGCACTTGAAGCGCTAGGGGCCTCCCAGCGGCTGAGGCGCAAGGCGCAATAAAGCGCTCGCCTGACTCGGGTGAAGCGCATTACTTAGATAATATCGCATATACTATTCTATAATTACCAAATATGATGTATATAACATCATATTGAACCAAATGCATAAAAAAGCACAAAGCACCACTGACAGCCCTTGTTCCACCTTCCATATCCTGGAAAAGCACAAAGCTGGAATTATTTAATACACTAGAAAACAGCTTTGGAAAACCACAAAGCTGAGTACATATATAATATATTTGTGGGTCAAACACTCAAACATGGCTGCTCAATAATGAAAAACACAAACCTGGTTATGTGTTTATCATGTTCTTTTAGTTTTAAAATCTGTGTTTGTCATGTTGTGTGTTGTAAAAGGTGGATATCCACTTTGATAAACATGTTTTACTCAGCCCTTTGTTAACAGCCATGTTTTACTTTGGTTGGGTCAAACAGAGTAGTATCTTTAGAAGCTGGTTGTGTGTTTATCAAAGCTGGTTGTGTACTTGTGTGTTTATCAAAGTTGGATATGCACTGACCTATGGCAAAGTAATATCTTCATTAATATCTTTGTTTATATACAGATTATTGTTGGAAATAGTTAAAAACACAAAACTGAGTATATATCTTTAGAAAACCAGAAAGATTAAGAGTAATATCTTTAGAAAACCACAAAGCAGAGTACGTATACTTATGTACTATGAGTATTATATACATACTAATATACCAATACATAGTATTATTACTTTATTACACACAGTGGCGGAGCCAGAGGTTTGTCCAAGGAGGGGCAAACCAAAGACTAAAAATTTTAAAGTTCGTGTCCAAAATATAATAAGAACAACAATAGCGTAATAATTTAACAAAAAATTATAGTTCATTACATACTACTTGATTTACTTCTGCAACCTAGGCAAATCAATCCTACGAGTTTTCATATTTTGAAAATGCTGCATAATAGCTTCATTATCAATTGCTTGAAAAATGTCTCTTTCGATGTAGCATACTAAGCAATCCGTAAGATAGTCATCTCTCATCTTATTGCGAAGATCTGTCTTGATAATATTCATCGATGAGAAAGCTCTTTCAACTGTGGCTGTTGCAACTGGTAACACTAGAGCCAACTCAATAAGACGATAGACCAAGTGAAAAGATTTGTGAATTGTAAGCTCAACCATCTTCTTAGACACTTCACCAATACTTTGTAAAGTGGAAAATGCTTCATTTCCTCTCATCTCTAGCAATATTTTCATTTGACGCAGTGGCATTTTCAACACTAGAGATAGATTGATTAGGAACAATTGAAGAACTAACACCTCCAATCAAAGACCTCTTAGTCTTAATTACAAATTTATCCAAACTCATACTCCTAAATATAACAAAAATAAGTATGAATTAAAAATGTTCCTTATACAAATAGCATTAAATTGCATCTAGAACTGAGATTTGAGGATTCACACAAATAAAATTGCATATAGGCTCAAATGAGGAGTGAATCCTCTATTTCATCCGGTGTGGGACGAGTTGTAGGCTGAAGAAAATAAAATTGGAAGAATTGGGGCGGAAGAAAAGCAAAACAAGTTTAACTTAATCCGTCCTGGGGGGGATTCGAACACGGGTGATACGAAGGGAGCGTGTTACCTGTCTCCACTGAGCTACTCCGGATTATTGGCAAATTGGGATGCCAAATGTATTACATACATTAATCCCCTTTTATTCTATATTTCATTTTTTTTACTTTTTCTGAAAATACTTTTTTATTTATTTTAACACTTCATCTTAAAATAACCTTAAGTTGTACTTATTGTTTTTAAAATTAAAAAAGAAGTCGGGGCAAGAAACATATTATAAGTAATACTAGTAAAAAAAATTAGTCGGAGCGGGGGCGCTTGCCCCCCCTTGCCCCCCCCCCCTAGCTCCTCCACTGATTACACATATACACTATAATATTTAGACACTAGTGTAATATGAGTAGATGAAGAGGACTGCATGAAAAAAAACACATACCTTGTTTAGTGCTGTGAGGGAGAACTGAGTTTGCTTGAGATGATGACAAAAGCTGAAAGAACATACTGGTGTATAGTAGCTTGAGTGTCGAGTGAGGAGAGCGAGAATGGCTAACGATGATAGCTGTAGTGTCTTGCGCAAGTTTTACGTTATTTACGTACTTAGACTCTTAATTTTACGTAGGTTTTACTTGTTTTACCCTATTATTTTCATGGGCTGAGTGTTATTAAAGATATGCGCTTCTCCTATTCTCAGGCGCTGGGGGTGTTGGTCGCTGCGCCTTGTGCGCTTAAGCGCTGGGGCGAGCGCTTTTGACAACCTTGATAGGGGGCTAATGCGCCGAATTTATATTTCATGAGGGGGTTTGGTGCATTAAACCCGATAAAATGAGATCAATCCTCCACAAGTATATTCTCCCTCCACTTCGCTCTTGTGAAGTCATACTTTCATCCAATCTAAGAAGTACCATATCTTTTTTGACCCCTTCAATCCTTGCCTGTTTGGGTCTTCATCTTCCTCTGGTCCCCGCCTCTTCTCTCCACTTCTCAACTCGTCTAACAGATGCATCACTTGGTCTTCTACGCACATGGCCAAATCAATGCAATCGAGACCTCTGCTTCTTACATTCAATAGGTGTTATTCCCACTCTGTACCTTTCAGTAATGTAGGTCTAATTGTTTTCCGCTAAAACTTTTCCGTCAATCTAGTCGGCACACCTCAATCACATAGAAATTCTAAAGCACTCTTCCATTCCATAATTTTCATCCACCATGTTTTGATTATATGGGATACATCTCCATCTAGTTCAGTGGTCTTCGGTGACCGATATCTCCTTACCAGCTTAGGTAATCCCACGATTACCATTGCTTCTAAAATTTGCATTCCATATACATTGACCTTTAAAAAATAATCAAAGTATGGTAATCTCAAATGAAGTAAAAGAAGTTCTACATTTTTATCATTTTAATGATTCTTTCACTTCTATAAGTGGGATATCTATTAGTCACTTATTTACTGTGTGTCAAAATTATGATTTCAAGGGGTGTTTGGTTCACGGAACCTTAGATTACTTTGAGCAATGTCATTATCTTCAAATATGTAATGTACTAATATGAGTTTATTAAAATCTAAGATTGACTAGGTAATGTGAGATAACAACGATGTAAAATTAAGTAATGCATTTGGTTGGGATAATTAAAATGTAAAACTGAAAAGTTTCTGTGAAAGTATATTAAAATATGCTTTAGAATATATTAGGAATATACCATAGATATTATTATTGTATAGCATCTTATATAGGAATATTCTATCTTTGTTATCTATATTTATTGGGCCTTAAACATTCAATAAAATACACAGAAAATCTTTCCTCCACTCTTCAATATTATTCTAGTTTATATTTCAACATGGTATTAGAGCCTTCTATTTCAGTTTAGTTTTTCTTTTCAAATTTCAGTTTAGTTTTTCATATCTCAGTTTAGTTTTCAGACTGGGTTTTTTCTCCAAGAAACTGATTTAAGTCCAGAATCATCAGAACCTCTAGGCACCACTCTGTCTTCAAGAACTTGTGATCTTCCGAGAACCACCTACTCATCCCATAACCTTTTCGCAAAACCTCCTACTCTTCCCATAACCTTTTCTTAGACCTCTTACTTTTCCCAGAACCTTTTCCCAGAACATCCAATATCAGAAGCAATTGGGTCCGACTTGCCCCCATCGACCGAATACCCGAAGTCCACACGCCCAAATCATCGCGCGTGAGTTACACGCGCCGTCGGAAGCTTCCACAGCCAATGCACGCGGTCTTGTACTCATCCCATTTCTTCATTTGTGTCGTACAATCAATTATCTCTGCCTCATGTTCTTTTATTGCTTCCATTGATTCTATTTCTGTTCCCAAATCTGTCAAAGAAGCTTTGTCTCATCCTGAATGACGTCATGCCATGGTAGAGGAAATGAATGCTTTAGATCTTAATGGTACTTGAGATTTGGTTGACTTGCTTACAGGGAAGAAATCTATTAGATGTAAGTGAGTCTTTGCTGTTAAGGTTAACCCAGACGGATTTGTTGCTCGGTTGAAAGTCCGATTAGTTGTGAATGGTTATGCTCAAACCTATGGTGTTGAACTGTTGATTATTCGGACATTTTTCTCTTGTTGCTAAATTAACATCTGTCAGGTTACTTGTTTCTCTCGCTGCAACTCATGATTGACACTTACATCAGTTGGACATTAAAAATGCATTCTTGCATGGTGACCTTCAGGATGTTTATATTGAGCAACCTCCGAGATTTATTGCTCAGGGGGAGTATGAGAAAGTTTGTCGACTTCACAATTCTCTTTATGGTTTGAAAGTTGAAACAAAGTCCCCGTGCATGGTTTAGAAAATTCAGTCAATCAATTGAACGATTTGGCATGATAAAAGGTCAATCAGACCACTTTGTCTTTTACATACGAACAAAAGCAGGTATCACATTGCTTATGGTATATGTCGATGATATTGTAATTACAGGGAGTGATACTGCAGG